TTTTTGAAAGGCCTGCGGAGGAGGTAGCTGAATATTGTCAGTGAATGAGTGAAATACAATATAACTTGATGTACGTTATTATTTATCTCGGCAACTTGCCAATTGAATACACGAGACTGTATTATCACTCTCAAAATAGCTTACTATTTAACAATTAGTCGCCGAAGGCGAGGTGATTACAAGCCTATATTCACTGAGCCGAAGGCGAAGTGAATATAGGCTTGTAATCACCGAGCCTGAGGCGACTAATTGTTTTAGTATAAATTTCCAGGTGTTTACAAACAATAATCCACACAACTTTATAAAAATTCACTTCAAATAAATTTATTTTCACTATAAATTGTTTGTTTACAAAATTTAAATCTCAGACACGGCTCTGTGTCGCGTTGCGACTAAGCCCGTTTTTTTCCAAATAAAAGCACGTAAAGTTAAATATTTTACCTTGATATATTTTTAAACCATATTTTGCAGCTTGTTTGGGTTTTTTTAGAATGCTATCTTCTATAATTTTGGCAATTTCCTCTTCTATTACTACGGCAAAACGAGCAGCCATTTTGAAAAAAAAGCTATAGTCACTGACCAGTGACTATCACGTCAGAGACAGTGAATCTTGACCAATCAGAATGCAGAAAAATCAATAGTCACCTGGAAATTTATACTAAAAGTCTATATACTCTAAAAACTCAAAAACCCTACCTTAATACTAGAGAAACTTTCTTCGAACTTCGCAATTTGAAAAACTGATAGAAGACTATTGAGTGTATAATGCCATAAAAGACTGCTGCTGTTGTCTAAATGATCAAACCATTTATCGTAAACAGTTCGGAAACTTTCGTAGATGCGCGGGCTTTCATAACTGTTCCAAAATTTTAGATTTTCATTTGTTTGCAGACGATTCTAATATTTTGTATACTGATAAGAAACTATCGAAGGTGGAGTCATGCATCAATAGTGAAATAAAATGTGTTAGTACATGGTTATGTGCTAATAAATTGCCACTTAACAATAGACCTTTATAAAAAGGTTGACGTCAGCAGGCTTGTGACGTAGTTTGCGGAGAAAATCCGGAAAGCTCAGAGTTGTTTACTTATTTTGAGTTTTTTTAGCCTGCGAACAGGCCCTGGGTTGCGGGCGGCGCGAAGAATAGAGGGCCTGCACTAGCCTGCTCACAGGCCGTTGTCAGGCGGAGAAGGGGAAGAGGAACGGCCTGCGACCTTTATTAGTAAAAAGTCGATTTATGCGTACGGAGCGTACGCAAAATTCCCATTGGTCAAAATTGCTCCATGAGTTAATATCGTGTAAATATTTAACTCTTTCAACATTTCGCGGGAATTTGACTATGCCCAAAGTGACGAAATTAATTAATTTTAGCTGGCATGGCGTCAAACAATGATTTTGTTGATCTCTTTGAAGAAATAAGTGAGCGTATTTCAGAAAGCTTTCGATTTAAATTAAAGTTAAAGGATGAGCAAAGGCTAGCAATTACTTCGCTTCTGAATAAAAAAGATGTTTTCGCCGTACTACCAACGGGATTTGGTAAAAGTTTAATTTATCAATACTTTGTCTTTGTCAAAGAACGTCTTTCCTCGACTGCTTCTGTTTTGATAATTTGCCCATTGTCTGGGCTTATTCGGGACCAGATTCTTGAGGCAGAAAGCCTAGGGTTGACGGCGAAGTATTTGGGGGAAATGTTGGATGGAGAGTCGGAGGCATTTGACGTTAAATTGCCTCAGCTTATATTTGCTACGGCAGAAAACGTTCAATGTTTTAAATTCCAAAATTATTTGAAAGATGAAACAAAGGCATTCACAACAACTTGGAATTGTTGGTTGTGGACGAGTCGCACACTGTTGAAATATGGACAGGAAAAAGGTGAATTATAGTTACATAATTATATAAAATCTTTAATATATATAGAATAATACATGTGCGAGGAAATACCAGATTTATTTCGAGTGTTGAACATGATATATCAAGAGTGAGCGCAGCGAACGAATGAATCAAATAAATCTGGTATTTCCAAGCATCCGTGTATTTTTCTGTTTATTATATAACGGACAGTCTTTGAAAAGCGATAATTTTTACAGAAAAGCAATAATTAAGAAGCGATAATTTTCACATGTGAAATTATCATCAGTTTTATCAGTGCTCGAAATCTCTAAATATACTTTATATAATAAATATTAATTTCAAATATTTTTTTTCATTGTAGAGGGAACAAAAGAAATCGTGGCTCTATAAAAGCCTTCCGTGAAGCTTTTGGGAACCTTGCCATCTTGCGCTCATTGTGCAAAGAAGGTACAGTAATATAAACAATAGGTCTTTATATACTAATAATTGTGATATAGGAGTATTGTGCCATATGTAATACGCCATGTAGATCAGTAGATGGCATGCGCAGTTACCTAAACTTGGTATTAAAGGTTAACAGTGTTTTACCAAATCTGAATGAGGAAATATAGTCCGGGTAATACATACAACCAGAGTGAAATCGGCTAATTGACAAATACAACCAGTGGCAGTGCCGCCAAGAGAGGGGGCAGGGGGAGGGCAAATTGCCCTGGGCCCCCCATCTTAATAGAGCCCAAACTTGAAAGTGAGAGGCTAAAATTGAGTAGGTTCTACAAATTGGTCAGAGCATTGTTGAAATCGAGGGCCTCTTACAATTCCTCAACATGCAGTCTAGCCAAGGTCTAGCTTAAAAATAATGATGGCATGGGTCCCTCATGGAAGATTTGCCCTGGGTCCCGTCATGCTATTTACTTTTCTCTTTCACTTTAACTAATACCAGATGATTCTACCTGTTTAGTGGAGAATCCTTCAGCATGGGTAAATCTGTGATCATTTGCTGTTTTAGGAACACCAATTTTATCTCTCACTGGGACAGCTGACAAATCAACAGTAAATGCAATAAAGACAAGCTTGTCCATGAAATCACCCATTGAAATTTTTGTCAGCCCAAACCGCCTAAACATTCGAATTTCAGTGTCAAAGTGTTCAAAGGTTGACATGTTATCCCAACTAAACTGGCTTATTGAGCTTGTGAAAGAAAAAGGAACAAATACTCCAAAGACTTTAATTTTCTGCAACACAATGAACGAAATTGCAAGGGTTTGTAACTACTTACTTCTAAAGCTTGGTGATAGTGCTTTCTGTCAGTCTGGTGAAAAATTAGCGGAAAACTGTATGATTGGAATTTACCATTCTGCAACTTGGGATACACAAACACAGAGAATTGTAGATGCACTGAAAAACACAGAGTCCTGTTCCAGCAGAATAATTGTGGCAACCACTGCTCTAAGTATGGGAGTGAATTTCCCTGATATTCGTTATATCATCAATTGGGGACCACCTAGAACACTGCTGGACTATCATCAGGAGATTGGTCGGGCTGGAAGAGATGGCAAGCAGTCTGATGCTTTGATTATTTTTAATGGGCAACAGCTAAGCCATTGCGAGGATGATGTAAAGTACTTTGCGAAATCGTCTAATTGTTACAGAGTGGCCAGCCTATTTCCTTTTGATGCTAATATCAAGCCTCTGGAACCTTTGCACAACTGTTGTTCATTGTGTAGAGGTACATGTTCGTGCATAGAGTGTGATGACAAAGCATTAGAAAGCCTTCCTTTCGAAACAATTGAAACTGTTGTGGGTTATAGTGATGGACCTTCCTTCATTAGATCAGTATCATATGATGACCAGGAAGATCTGAAAAGTGCACTCACAGAGCTTTTTGAAAGCTTTGTAAACAAGCAGGATGAAATGGATGTAAACTTTTATGAACAGCTTACAACTGAAATAGTTTCAAACTGCGAAAAAATTTTCACATTGGAAGACATAATCACAAACTATGCAGTCTTTTCCGTGAAACGTGCCATAAGTATTTTGGATATTTTTAATGACATATTTAATGATATAACATCAATACCCTTGTTTAGAGAACTTGAATTTATTGATTGTTTAGTTGACCAACCTTTTTGGTCAGTGACCAACTACACTGGACATTACTCGTCTTCAGAATCTGACAGTGAAATTGTGTAAAATTGTATGTACAGTGGTCAGGTGTCATATTATAACGTTTTGTTACACTTGCAAATTTATATACTGTACAATGTTACATATCATATACTATTCAAAAAATGACCAGTTACAATAACAATTTAAGAGTGTATAATATTACTACAATTAATGTGTCTGTGGAGTTCAAAAACACAGAAAATCAAAGTTTATGACCCCTTTTTAAGCGTTTGTGGTGCATCACATTGACAGTCATTTAAAGTATAGTTGACATATATGTATTGATGAATAATTGACTATTTTTCACTGATAGAAGCCCACAGCTTGACATTGTCAGTCATCCAGGTGTGAAGAGCTTTGTAATCGATTTTCCCCAAAATATTTCCATCAAACTTTGCAAATGATGGATGACCTGTTCTGCCAGGTGTGTGTCGAAAAACCTGTTTGGACATTAAATCGGAGGAGATCTGAATAACTGCATCTGCTTCATTTGGAATATTCCTGGTGCCTTTCTTTCGCTTGTAGTTGCAGTCTTGATCAATCTTATCTGTTATCTGTTCCATTACTTCAAGAGTATCTGCAACCCTGGATGCATTGTTCTCGTTAATGTTGGACCCTAAAGATCTCCACAGTTTCTTTAGGGTTTTGTTAAGTTGCTCCTTTCTAAGATCCATTGGGATGTTGCAACCAGTCCCACCATGCTTGTTGAAAAAACGATTCCACTTCAATCTGTGGGCCTCGAATGGTGACAATAAGGATGTAAGCTTGACTAGGTGATTAAGGACAATGTAACTGTATTTAGTATGCCCAATACTTTTGTACAGCAAAAGACAAAGCTTGTACAATTCAAATAATCTTTCACCATCACCCTCCTTTACTGCATCATTGAACTCCATCAGTACTAGCCCATATAACAATTTTGCATTGTGATAATTGAATAGGTGGTCATGTGTTACTTTTTCTTTGTTGTCTGAACATGCACCTTTCTCAGGTGTTACAGGTAATTGTTGATGCTTCTTTTCTTGATGCCTGAAATATCGTAAAATTATTGTAACTAACAATACTTTATTAGTTTTTTATACATTAATTTTACACTATCTTAGACTTTTTGCACTTTATTATTTTACATTATGTTAGGCCTGTTTCAAACGTTGTGCTTCTCATGTGCCAAACGCATTAGAAACAATAGGTAATGAGGCATTTCAGCTTATTATTTATTGTTTTTAATGCGTTCGGCACATGCGAAGCGCGACGTTTGAAACAGGCCTAACATAATGTAAAATAATAAAGTGTAAAAAATAATAAAATGTGGAATATGATGCTTCTTTAATTCTTTTTTATTGTGAATAATTTGCCACTATTTAGTCATTCTGTACTGTTCCTTAAATGCTTTGTGCTGAACACATATCCACATCCAACCTGACACTTGTAATGCCCATGATCATCCACTTCTGAACTGCTAAAAGAGGTGTCATACTGATGGCCATGATCATTTACTTCATGCCTTAAAAATAAAAAATAGCAAAACATATCATACTGTTTTGACAATAAATTTCAACAATTATTTTTGTACATGGTTATTGTACATGGTTATTGTACCATGGATTTACTAGTCCGTTATTGTAGTATTGTACCGTGTGTAAAATTGTAAATCGCAATCTGATTAAGAAGGATCCAATAATGCAGCTGTAGAACACACTGAACACTGCATGTGCAATTTTTATCTGAAGCAGGGGCTATTGCATATAAGCATGCATGCATGTAGACTGTAGTTGCTGTAACTTCCATCAATTAATTGCTTGATAGTATGTTATAATAATGTTATATACAGTATTAGCCAACATTTAGGATGGAGAGTTTCGTAACAATTATTATTTACCTCACTCTTGCTGAATGGAACACATATTCAGCCTCACACAAGGTTTGCCTGCATTTAAACGGTCCATTTGACAATTTATTGAAATCAATTGTTTGATTCACCAGTCGACCGATATCACATGATTTTTCCACACAACTGTCGACCAGCTGTTGAGACACATTCAAAAGCCATTTTCTTTTAATGTCATTTGACTCAGACTTGTCTGGTAGGGACATGGCAGGTTCTCCTGTTACAAGCAGATGTTAAAGTTGTTTTTAGTTTTAACCCATATAAGCTAGCTGCAAGATTTATGTACTTGATGAGTAACAGAATAAAAGTTAGAATAAAGTTGCCCGAAGCATTTGAGTATGTATTGCTGGTCAACAAGTTAAAACTGCATGATTGTTGCAATCACATATATCATACTCAACTTCACTGTAATTAGACTGATCATTATTAGATCCAGCTAGGGAGAAACTTAAGAAGGGGGGGGGGGGTCTTGATTACCAGGACAATAAAACAATCTTGAGGATAACAAAGTTGTGCTTGATTGCTAGGGTAACAAAAGAATCTTGCCTGCGCGGTAACAAAGTTGTGCTGAAAGCCATTTCCTTAAGTGTTGACTCTTTATGTAAGTTCAACATATAACTTTGTATTATCCATTTGCCTCCTATAGGAGTGCACACAAAAATAGAATTCAAATTTGTGCAGGGTGGCCCGCACCACCCCCCAATATTAAATGAGATGGGACTTGGAATATCTTTCTTCCTTACCACCCAAAATTTGACTGTCCATACAGGTTAATACTTAATAATCACAATCCATCATTTGTAAACTAGACATAAGCATGCTGAAAGAGGTTAAATAAGACTATAAACATGTTGTTTCTGATGCTCTTAAGTCAGGCTCCTAAAAATTTTCTTGCTTGGTGCCTGAAACAATTGGTGGGGCCTAATGTGAGTGTCGACTCCTTTATATTTAACTATTAGGAAGCTTCCTTTGCCTTTGAATTTTTGTATGTGTTAATTAAATGGATTTTCACCTCTTGTAACTGCAGGGCATCTGCTAAGTTTTGGCAGGGCAATTCCACCGGACCACCCCCCTCTGGCCCTCCCCAACATAAAGAGGTTAGTTTTGCCATCTGCTAGCTTAGATCAATGACTGTATGATATGTATGATATGTAATATAAACCCATGCACAATAACTGTAATTAGTTATAACTGTTGATATACATTAATTTAAATATATAATAACATTTCGATATATAAGTAACCTTTCAATGTTGACATGCGTGCCATTTCCATAAATGCTGTACAAATGTGAGCTTCAGTTTCTCTTTCATGAAACTCTTTATATTCGTTATAACTGTTGTCAATTCCCTTGACTGCATTCGTCTTGTGAGTCCTGTTAATGCTTGCCATAGTTGTTCCAACTTCTGTTGATGACGAATGTTGTAGAAACTTTTCATACTCAATCTGAATTGAAACATTATTATCAGCTATAAAAAGTAATTAAAATCTCGTCTCTTTTGAATGAACATAAATTGGTAATTGTTTGACAACACATGGATTTAAGTATTCAACATTATTAATTTTATGCTTATCAGCAATGCACCTGACTTTATCCTTTTGGCTTGTAGGGTCTTGCAGCTTGTTAAGGGTCTTGCAGCTTAATGTGTTAATTATTATAAATGAGTAATTACCTTATATAAAGTAACCTTCGCGTGCCAATCAGCAAATTCTGTTTCTAAACCTTCCAAGCGGTCATACTGATCATCACCAACACGAAATGTCCACTTTACATTACGGGCTCTTTCTTCGAACAGTTGGTCGCCATGAAACCCAACAGTGCTTAAGATCTGCTTTTTGCCCTGATGATCTATTTTTGGCACATACCTGTAACATGCAAAATTAACATATTATTGATGTGGGTAACGTAACATAGTGAGTTGTGGTCAAATTCAAAGTGCAGATAGCTCTTATAGAAGCAAACAAACTATATAAACTCATTTTCCTTTATCTAAGACTACTAAATATGTAATGGAAAAAAAGAATCAACGTTATTTTCCCATGATGACTGCAACTGTTGACCACCAGTTAGTGCTAGCCTGCCCGGGAATTGCTTAGTGAAACACACCTAAAGGGGCCCTGCAGTATTTTTTAGTCAAGTAAGTATTGTTTACATTTTTTTTTTGTTGCTATATTCGCAATAATTCGCTTCTCAGTCAGGCAATATTGGTTTATTATAAAAATAAATGAGACAAATTCTGTCAATTTTGTGGGAAATTCTGTCAGTTTTGTGGGAAATATGCTATCTAATATAGGAATTTTTCATAATCACTCTGACTCCTGCCCCCTCCCCTGTTGACAACAATTTCGGAAAGTTTCTCCAGAAATCTTTTTTTGACAATTTGGGCACAATCCGAAAAAGTTAGGCAAATTTCTTTCCGGCCCCCTAATTTTTTCCTTCCCGTAAGCCTATGGTTTAAATTATATATATATATATATATATATATATATATATATATATATATATATATATATATATATATATATATATATATATATATATATATTGACAAAACATTACTGTTACATACCGATCTTGGTTGGTCTTCATCATTTGTGCCATCTCCCCAGCTACATTAGGGTTTTTGAATTCCATGCTTAAACAGCACTATAAAAAATATTAAGTACTGTATTAGAAATTATAAGTATAGTCAAATGTGGGTGATAATTTAATATGCGACCAAGGGTCCACAGTAATGGCATGTGCTGTTGTTAGCGAATAAAATAATAAAATAAAATAAAATCAGAGATGGGATAAGATGGAAATTAACCCATTAAGCGCCAGCGCTCTCCCCTTGATGAGTAAAATCGTCTGCCGTTAGACAGAGTAAAATACTAAAGTAGGGTGCATCGCCACTCAATGGGCTAAAAGGGAAATGGAATAAAAATGAAATAAAAATGATTGCATGTTTTAATTTTAACATTACCCTGATAGCAGAGCCTGATTTGTAAGGGGAAATCAGGCTCTGCTATCAGGGTATTTAAATATTAATACTCACTGAATCAGATTTGGATTTCATCTCTTTTGAATAAGCATGTGGTATGTGTTTGACAACACATGGATTTAAGTATCCAAGCTTCTCAATGTAAGTCACAAGGACACGGCTAACCAACACAGCGCAACATGCCTTGATTTTATTCATCACTTCTTGTGTGGGAAGTATATCAGCAAGCTGCAGGTCTCTTGATTTCCTTGTACTATTTGCAGCGTTTAGATGCATGTTGACAACTTTATCTTTGACAGCAAACTGATGGGTCCAATGTAAACTTTGATTGGTATGTTGTTTATCTTGAACTCTCGCTTTTACTTCCAAGTCAATGTTATCTCCAACAATCCTACATATTCAGAATAATATAACTCTATATCTGGCTGTTCATACTGTATATACACACAATTTAAAATTAATCCCCTGCCTGCCAAAGATCCTGTGAACCCTTGGAATTGTGGTCTTCGTTAAGATTATATGCACTCCCTCAGAGATTAATAATACCATAATTAAGACTTATTTTGCATCATAGTTTGTTAATATGCACATACTGCTGCTATCAATGTTACGCCTCTGGTGGGGGGGAGGGGGGCATTTGATAAATTTTAAACCACATACTTTTTCTGTCACAACCACTGACCAATTACGTAAATGAATTTATCATACAAATTAAACTTGAATGTTGCAAAAAAAATATTGATAAGTATTAAATTTGGAAAATTGTATTTTGTTATATGCGTATTGATTGATTTCGCATTCAAGAGATGGTATATCATTGATGTCTCCCAGGTCTGGAATTATTTGTTATTTGCCCACATTTAGGGTATTGCTTTATAATTTTACTTTTAAAAAGTCTATCCCCCCCCCCATTGATAGGTGCATTGATAGGTGCATTCAGTGGGGGAAATTCAACTGTTTCCAGTGGCGGGCAAAGCCTCCTAAATTTCCGAGAAAACTTTCAAATTTCCGACATACTGTATGCATAGTGCATGTTGCACTCGAAAAGACTATTTTTAGCCCTCTTTTAGGTCAGAATTTCCGAAAGTTCAGCAAATTTCTGTGAAGGTGGGGGAAGGGGGGGGCAGCTCCCCCACTGGGTGCATTAATATTACTGTACTTAGTCAAACACTAAAAGTAAAACAAATGAATTAATATAATTGTGTTTTTAAACTTTTAATGCATTCATGGCTCGGTATGTATAATACATAGGGACTCAAAGGGTTCATTTTTTTGAGATGTCAAAAAGTGAACCTTTTCAAATGAAGTAGTGTTAGTAAAGTGTACCTTTTGTTAACTTTCTTGGATACATACTACAGTACGTATGTTGATCGATACAATCAGGGATATTACAATTAATTGCGTGAAAATTATTCCCTGGTTGATATAGTAATCTGCCAGCAAAATTACTTACTTGTAATGAGGAATATTATCATTCCTCAAACTGTTAATGGCTGACTGAAGGACGTCCTCTGTATATGTTGGCGAACTTAACGGTATATCATCTAATCCAAGCTGTTGCTTGGATTTATCAAGCAGCTGTATACCATAGCTTAACGTAGTTTCGTTGACGTTTCTATATTCTTTGACAGTGTCGCTATCCAAACTGACTTTTTTATCTTCCACATCCATGTCATCTTCTTCGCTTACCAACTGGCGGGTCTTCACTTCTTCAAGAAACCGTAAAGTAGACAGTTTTTTCTCTGATTCACTCTTCCAAAGTAAAACTTTTGCGTCAAAATTATTCCCCATTTCCTTTTGAAATTTTACCATGGTGCGAGGCGACATACAAAGGCCAAGGCGATTGAGACGAGTTTGGTCTTCGAAATTCACCCCGCTGTGAAAAAGGATAGTCGAAATACGATATGCCACAGCAGACATTTGAGTGTTTTGGCGTCGCGCCACGATAGCAGTGGCCAAGGCAATCGCATTCACTGAATCTCCAGGTTGGTCTTCGAGTTTCACATTGCACGCTCCACGTATACAAGCATTCCAAATCGGGAGATGCACTCGTACTTCTTCAGCAAGTATCTTATTCGAGAATGCACACAGATCTTCGGGATTTCTCTCTTTTAGCACAGAGTCAGAATGGCAATAGGATTTAAACTCCCTTGTAACTTGTTTATTTAACGCAAACAGCAATTTGTTCACAAGGTTGTCACACTTCAGAACAGCATACGAAGCTGCTTTTAAGTTTTTTTGTGCTAAATTCCTGATGACTGCGGCAGTGGTTTTTTCGCTCACGCGACGTACTGTAACATTTCCTTGTGGTGTTGTAATTGCTACTTTTACCTCTGTGCTCTTCTTTTCATCACCTTCGCAATCTATGTTATACAATAGAGAAGTAGCATTGTCTATGCTGCTCGTGCTGTCGTCTTTCTCTTTAAAAAGTGAACGCTTAGGCTCCTTGTTTCTTCTGCAGTTTTCACTTGTGGAATCTCCTTTCGCGGCTTTTCGTACCGTTGGGCTGTGTTCAGACGTTGTTGGTATCTGCCTTTTAAATCGGTCCTCCTCACCTGGTCCACCGTCTTTACACTGATTCACTGTATGTGTCTCAACAAACGTCTCGATGGGCTTGTTCAACGTTGGTAACAGTTTATTTGAAAATACACAAAAGTCTCGAAGCTTTCTGCCGCAAGTAACACAAACGCGGTTGGATAAATTGTCAGCCTCAAATAGAGTTACTTTACTTTCTCTACAAAGATCAGCAAGGCACACGTCGAAGTTTTCCCTTGTACTTCTTTGGAGAAGGTTTATAGTAGAACACCTGACCAATTTGAATTTGCACCTGCAAATTCTGCAATAATCGTTTGCGTGTTCTTTTACAGAAGTCCGCCCTCTCTTTGAGACTTTCTTTTTGGGAGTCTCAACTAGTGACATATATTATTTCAAGAAGAGCTTTTTTTAAAAAAATGCAGTTATTAAACACGGTAAAATCAATAACACTCCACGCTTCAAATTGTCTATTGTCTATTGAGTTGTATTGTTGAGCAATTGACAGACTTCACGCGATAAATGTAAACATTGAAAACTATAAATAGTTGTTGCACTTCACCTGTAAAAACTGTTTGCTGTTGTTTTTTAGCCTGCTATCGTTCGATACTTTTAATAAATAGTGTTTGTTCAAAACCTAAATACGTTTTCTTAAATCTTACAGTTGTACAGTTCTATGTAAATACATTTAATATAAAGAATACAATTTTACGTGTCTGTACTCTGTACTGTAGTAGCATAATTTCAAACGGCAATGTACGAACAGGACAGCAATATCCAAACGGGACTATATTACAAAGTGGGACAGCAATATTACAAACGGGACTATAGAACATTTTTTAGAAAAAAACGACCATTATTTTAGATTAAAGTTTAGAAACATTAAAAAATATTTGATCTTGGAATTCCAGTGAAAGATACAGGTAAAATTGCGCGGGAAACTGTTTGTTGTTGTTAATAACCTCTGGTAATCTAATTAACAAAACTTACTTTGATTGGCTATTATTTACCGGATGTTCAATTATCTCAAAGGGGGCGTATTGAAAAAATATCAATAAAAGTCGCAGGCTCTATATAATAGAGCCTGTGAGCAGGCTAGGCCTGCACGGATGATAGGTTTTCTTGGTAGTGGCGTTCGTATAGAAACGCAGGCTTCTGATTGGCTTACACTCGTTGACAAAATTACTAAAAATAGCAAATGTCAACAACAGCATTTTGAAGAATTTGAACTTTATTCATTTTAATATTATATATTATAGGACTATCGAACAAATAAAACTAGAAATGGAAACCAAAAGCAATAGCAAAGCATCACAGCAAAAAAGTCTATCATAAATGACTTGAATCTATCGCTTAAATCCAATATACGAAACTATAACAGTATTCTGAACTTCGTCTTCGGATTGACATCAGAATATAGTATAGTACATTTTGAGGTCGTCGTGGCTTCACGGATTATTCTCATTAGTGAGCAAGTCAGCAAGCGAAGGCATACAAAAGATACCCAAATATGTACGAATAATATATTGTCGATCCTCGCTGGCATGTCATTTAGATAAATATATATCGTACATTAAACGTTGTACTGTTTACTGTATATTAACTGCTGACAATTTCGTCGTCGATACGGCTTCCACTATTGGCACACTCGTGATTTCGAAGAAATTAATAAATACATGCTCATTTATCATTTATTTAGACCACAGTTAGTAAAATTTTAAACGTATTCGGTATTCCAAATCCCACTCTATCTGACCGTATTTTAGTAATAGCTTCAAAATATTCAGAACATTGTTCTTTCAGTCGCACATAGTACAAGTATTACTGTACATTCAAAGCCAATGGTAGTTTATTCGGCTTTATATTTGTATGTGTATTGATATCTATTTAATATTTGAAGAATTCTATATTTTCCGAGTAATATATTGTGCGGCCCGCTAATGCTTTGTATTATTATTGTTCATGTTGCACAATGTACACGCCTTGCGTCAATTTGACAGTTGACAGTTTATTTATCGCAGTCGACGCTGATTGGTTAGCGTTTAGCAGATGCGAAAAGGGGATGAATGAATAAAACGCATGGTTCCGTGCAGGCTCACCTTTCTCCCAGTGAGCCTGTTCGCAGGCTAACATACATATATATATATATATATATATATATATATATATATATATATATATATATATATATATATATATAGCCTCTTTGGGTACTTATAATGTAGAATAATGAGAAAAAATTCTCGAACTCAAATTTTGTGAACCAGGGGGTGTGTCTTTTCCAACAAACTAAAAATGGCTCGCGCACAAAATTTAAAAGCTGCAATCATATTTTGAGTTAACAGATGGAAAATTTGTCAGGATTTTAATTACTGTACAACATTTCAGACAATTTCATTTAGTTTAAGCCCCCTTAACAATTCACGCAAAGTTACAATTTTCCCGAAAAATCAGCTATTTGCATGCTTAATTAATGCATTTGCCTAATTTGCATATGTGAGCAATATGCAAATTAGGTAAAGGCATTAATTAAGCATGCGAAAGGCTGACTTTTTAGAACAAAATGAATAGTTAAAGGGCTTAAACTAAACCAAATTGTCTGAAATTTTGTACAGTAATTAAAAACCCGACAAATTTTCAATCTGTTAACTCAAAATATTATTACAGCTTTTAAATTTTGTGCGCGAGCCATTGTTTGTTTTCTGGAAAAGACACACACCACTGTTCACAAAATTTGAGTTCGAGAAATTTTTTTCATTATTTTACATTACAAGTACTCAAAGAAGCTATATATA